CAGCGCCTCAGGCAGAGAATTAGCCTAGTGAGCCGTGGCGCCAGCTGGTAAGATAATTTTTAACAAAATAAAACTCTGGAACACATATTAAAGAACATTATAAATATAATTTTAGAAGGGCTGTGAATGCCCAGATGTGAGCCCTGGAGAAAAGAGGGGGCTAATAGGTTATTTGAGATATGTATATGAAAAAGATTCATGTATAGTGAAGAGCTCTGGGATAGAAGCAAAATTCATTTTTGAAAATATTGGTTAGACAACAATGCTATCCAATCTATCTGACTATGAAATTTTAAGTTTTATACAGGGTCTTGTATGCTAATGAGATAAACATTTACTGATACATAGAATAGTTCTTGGGTTGTAGGATAATTATGTATTAGTAGAGGAAATGTTTGTAAAACACCGAGCATAGTGTCTGATTCATTGTAGTTAACAGGTAAGCTTTTGTTACCTTCCAACTAACAATGTTACGTATATGTGGTAAAATAGTTCAAAATTAGTTTTACTCATTTTTAGCAGATGCTTCTAGAACATTTACTGTAGGCAAAGTGCTGTGTGATAAAATGAATAATTTACTGTTTTAGTTATATAAACTAACATTTTTAAAGATTAATAACAAAACCAAATTTTTAGTATGTCTATTTTGCTGTTTTCTTTTCATACTTTCATCCATGATACCAAGTACTATTAATGACTATTAATTAACATTACCAGGATTTCTATCCTTCCCCTCTCCCCGCCCCCAGACACATACATACATACACATAGCCCTTCATGTAACAGTCTCTTCTCTTTATTCCCAGTAAGGGTTCTCTTACAGTGCTAAGTCTTAGATTTTCTGTTCTGAGGGGCCTTGTTTGGGATGGCAACTGGGATGATGATAGTGAAGCCCTGGGGTAGGATGCAGTCTTCTTGTTGAAATAGAGGGAGTGGAGAAGACTCAGGAAGGATGCTATAGTTTTAAAGAGGGAGAATCAAAAGAATTACGTATCCTTTGGGATGGCACCTAGGATTAGGGAAATGTGGTAAAATAGGTTAGGATAAAGTAAAACAAAGAGGAAGTGGGAGGGGAAGTGTTGTGGGGCAGCGGGTTAAGCAGCCTTGACACCTTGGCATCCCATATGAGCACTGGCTCAAATCCCAGCTTCTCCACTTTTGATCCAGCTCCCTGCTAATGCCCCTAGGAAAGCAGCAGAAGGTGGCCCAAGTGCTTGGGCTCCTGCCATACACATGGGAGACCCAGATGGGATTCTAGACTCCTGGCTTTAGCCTGGCCTAGTCCCAGCCATAAGAGCCATTTGGGGAGTAAACCAGTGGATAGAAGATCTCTCTCTCTCTCTCTCTCTCTCTCTGGCTGGCCCCGTGGCTCACTAGGCTAATCCTCCTCCTGCGGCGCCAGCACCCCGGGTTCTAGTCCCGGGTTGGGGCGCCAAATTCTGTCCCAGTTGCTCTTCTTCCAGTCCAGCTCTCTGCTGTGGCCCGGGAGGGCAGTGGAGGATGGCCCAAGTGCTTGGGCCCTGCACCCACATGGGAGACCAGGAGGAAGCACCTGGCTCCTGGCTTCGGATCAGTGCGGTGCGCTGGTCGCAGCATGCACGCTGCAGCGGTCATTGGGGGGTGAACCAATGGAAAAGGAAGACTTTTCTCTCTGTCTCTCTCTCTCTCTCACTAACTCTGCCTGTAAAAAAAAAGAAAAAAATCAGATATAGGGGCCGGTGCTGTGGCGCAGCGGGTTAACTCCCTGGCGTGAAGTGCCTGCATCTCATTTGGGTGCTGGTTCATCCGATCCAGCTCTCTGCTATGGCCTGGGAAGGCAGTGGAGGATGGCCCAAGTCCTTGGGCCGCTGCACCCACGTGGAAGACCTTGAGGAGGCTCCTGGCTCCTGGCTTCGGATCAGCTCAGCTCGGGCCGTTGTGTCCAACTGGGGAGTGTGAACCATCGGATGGAAGACCTCTCCCTCTCTCTCTCTCTGCCTCTCCTCTCTCTGTGTAACACTGGCTTTCAAATAAATAAATCTTAAAAAAAATAAAATCAGATATAAATGATCAGAAGTTTCAAATGCTATTTACTCCTGATATTGCCATGTTATACTTAATCTCATCATAAGTAAATGCTGTTTTAGTATTCTTGAATACCAATCCAGAACTTGAGAATATTTGCATAAATATTTTCTAATGTATCTGAAAGATATGATCTTTTAAAAACTTAAGTATATAGTTATACCATATTCATATCACATAAGAGATATAGTTGGGCAGGTAATTGTTTCTAGGTTATTTCAGTAGATAGATCTAGAAAATATAATTTAAAAATACTAAATGCATTCTGAATTCTTAGTTATACTCCCCATTCAAATTCAGTACCATAGAACTTTTACTTGACCTAATCTTTTGGTTTTTAATATTAAGTGTTACTCTAATTCAGTTTATTTTTTTGTTGAGAACTTCAGATCTTCCTAATAGAATAAAGTAGTACATAAAAATTCATTTTCTTTATCTCACATTGCACATGTTACAGTCTAAGAATAAAAATACTAACACTACTTCTAACAATGATTATTAGAGATGTATAAACCACTGTGTTTTAAAACCACTTAAAATAGTTCCCCTGTGAGTGGTTATGTTTCCATCTGTATACACATTTAGGTTGCTTTGTTTCATTTCATTTTCAATTTTTAGATAATGCTTTAAAAATTTATTTTCTCTTATAATTAAGTAAAACATTGACATAGTTCTAAAGTCAAGTCAGTAAAGCAAGCTATATTTTATAAGTTTAATATCTCTATATAATGTCTTAATACACTTGTGCTTTGATTTTTCTCTGTTAGTATCGTAATGTGAACAATATGAAAATTAGCCAGACAGTCTCTTCAAACTCTCATTCTTTCTCTCCCCCAGCTTCTGATCTGAGGTAATGTCCTTTTATCCTCAGTTAATCATTAACTAAGTCAATCATTAAGCTAATTCTACTTTCTTCATTTTCTGCAATTTTTAAAAAAAAATTATTTATTGATTTATTTGAAAGTGAGAGAGAGAAAGAGGGAGAGGGAAACAGAAGAGAGAAAGGTCTTTCATTCGCTGTTTATTCCCCAAAATACCTGCAACAGCCAGGGCAGGGCCAGACTGAGTGAAGCCAGGAGCCAGGAACTCCATCCAAGTCTCCAGCATGATGGCAGGAACCCAAGTATTTGGGCCATCATCTACTGGCTCCCAGACATATTAGTGGGAAATCGGACTGGAAACAGGGGCAGGACTTGATCCCAGACACTCTGATACCTGCAGCAACTTAACTAGTAATACCACAATGCCCACCCCTCCCATTCTTTGATAGTTGTACTGGATTTACATTGTTAGAGCATGTAGCCATTGCCTACTAAGTTTTCTGCTTTGTAATTATCATATAGTCTTAGTTCTGTAAGTAAATATATAGTTAATGCTTACCATTAATTTTTAACATGGCTGTCTTTCCTCCAGTCATTTGAGTAGTCTAGAATTTATATTTTCTCGCAGTTTTATCTGGAAAGGCATATGAAACAAGACTTTTATTCCTTGAATTCCTATATGTCCCCAATAGTTTTTCTCTTGCATTTATACCTGAATGTCAGTTTCACTTGATATAAAATCCTTGGCTCACATTTTTCTGTACTTGAGTGTTTTAAATCTGTTACTTTATTGTCTTCAAAAATATAGTGTTGCTATTAAAAAACTGATGACAAACCCAATTTTCTATGTCCAAAGGATTATTTTGTCTTTCTTTTATTTAATATTTTACTAGAATATGTCTAGGTATTGGTCATTCTGTGATGCAATGTGTCCTTTCAAAATGTGGCTTTATGTAATTAGTTTTTCATATTCTATTCTGTAGTTCTCCTTTTTAGGAAGTCCTTTTATGTATATTTTAGATCTCTTTAAAATCTGTTTTCTGTTTTTGTCCCTTTCTCTGAATTTTTTTCTATTTTTCTCCTTTTTATCTTTTTTCCTTTTTTGAAAGCAATATTTTTATGTTTGTCTACTTTTTCACTTCACTTGGTCTCCATTTATGAAATGGTATTTTTCTTTTTTGTCTAATTCTTTTTTGTCATTCCGCTTCAGAGTTTATACTTTTTTCATATATCCTACAATTTTCTTAATTTACTGTATTTTGTAATATTAGGTTAAAGTTTTCATGGGCAAGTCTTTTCTGGCATGACTTTTTTATTTCTAGGGAGATTTTCAACTTCTGTTTTCTTTTTCTTAAAATATTTTTTCATGAGGTTGTTAATGTTGTTCAATTTTATGCAAAACCAGATTTTGTGAACTTTTAGGAAGGAGTGGTGTGTTAGGAGGGCTTTTCTAGCCTCACAGCCCTAGTGCCCCTGTGTGTGTGTGCATATGCACTATATGTAGCACATGTGTATCTGTGATAAAAAATTATGGCCTATTGCTTTCTGGAATATTCTGGTTTTGTGTCCATCCTCTAATTTTGTGTGGACTTCTGGTTTCCTTTGCCTCAATAATTGATGTACAGTTCAATATGGATTCTTTTCCTAAATGTTTCTTATTGTGAGTTTTTGACTTTGGAAGTCTTGGCTGGTTGATTTTGTAAATTCACAAGGCAGAGTGCTTCAGATCATGACTACTTAAACTCATTCACAAGTCAAGGAATACAAAACCTGCTACTTTTCTGCTTCTGTTTTTTAATATGCCTGCTACTCTTTCCAATGGGTATTTGAGAGAGACAGAAAGAGGGATGAAGGGAGGGAAGGAAAGGAGAGGAGAGTAGAAAGGAGGGGAGGGGAGAGAGAGAGAATGAATGAATGAATGAGTATAGGAACAAGAACGTGTACATACAATTTAAGAGATTTCTGGAAAGATTTCTAGGAGTCATCTTTTTTTAGTTAAAGTAAACAAATTTCATGTATTTCATATATACAGATTTAGGAACTTAGTGATATTTCCCACCCAACTTTCCCTCCCACCCATATCATATTCCCACCCTCTTCCTCCTTTCTCTTTTATTCTCCTAATTTTTTATTTTTTATTTTATTTTATTTTTTGACAGGCTGAATGAGAGCAGAGAGAAAGGTCTTCCTTTGCTATTGGTTTCCCACCCTCTTCCTCCTTTCTCTTTTGTTCTTCTAATTTTTTATTTTTTTCTTTTCTTTTTTTTTTGACAGGCAGAGTGGACAGAGAGAGACAGCGAGACAGAGAGAAAAGTCTTCCTTTGCCGTTGGTTCACTCTCGAATGGCCGCCATGGCCGGTGCGCTGCAGCCGGCGCACCGCGCTGATCCAAAGCAGGAGCCAGGTGCTTCTCCTGGTCTCCCATGCAGGTGCAGGGCCCAAGTACTTGGGCCATCCTCCACTGCACTCCTGGGCCACAGCAGAGAGCTGGCCTGGAAGAGGAGCAACCAGGACAGTATCTGGCGCCCCGACTGGCACCTGGTGTGCCAGCGCCGCTAGATGGAGGATTAGCCTAGTGAGCCACGGCACCGGCCTTATTCTCCTAATTTTTGCAATGATCTACTTTCAGTTTACTTTATACTCATAAGATTAACTCTACACTAAGTAAAGAATTCAACAGATAATAATAATAAGAAAAAATCAGTGTTCCTCAAGCCTTACTTTATTTTTAAAAGATTTATTTCTTTGAAAGACTGAGTGAGATAGAGAGATAGAGATAGAGATAGAGAGAGAGAGAGAGAGAAAGAGAGAGAGAGAAATTCCATCTGCTGGTTCACTCTCCAGATGGCCACACAGCCAGGTCTAGGTTAAGCCAAAGTCAGGAGCCTGGAACTCCATCTGAGTCCCCCACATAGGTGTCGGGGGACCAAGCACTTGGGCCATCTTCCATTGCCTTCCCAGGAACATTATCAGGAAGCTGGATTGGAAATGGAGCAGCTGGGCCTTGAACTGGCTCTCTGATATGGGATGCTGGCATTGCAGGTGGCAGCTTAATCCACTGTGCCACAATGCCAGCTCCTTTCTAACTGTAGTATACTCAATGAAAGTGATCATGACTATTGGTATAGATTTAGTCTTTATGTACTAGTTAGTGTTCTATATAAAATTAAAAATGCATGGAGAAAACCAAGCTATCCGTTTTGCTTTTGAAAAAGGAAATAAAATTTATTTTGTGCAAAATATATGGTGTGTTATACAGAAACAAGTGTCATTTAGATTGAGGCGGGTAAGCTGAGTAAAATGTTAAAAACTGCTACATTGATTTAAATGTTCATTGATACTAACTAAATATATGGGCTGACTTATATGTTACATATAATGATTCAGAATATCCCAGCATTTAAGAGCTTAGCCTCTGTAGTAACAGACCTAGATTTGAATCCCCAATCTAGTACTTACTAGCTATCGACTGCTGGTGAGTTACTTGATAATTCTAATCTGCTGGTTATTTTCTTCTTTAAAATGAAATGATCAGAATCTGCCTTTTAGATTTGTAATAGGATGAAATCAGGTAATTCATTAAAATATTTTGCACAATTTCCTATTCTTGTACTATAAAAGTGTTTAAGAAAATTTGCTGTTTTAACTACCCATATTATTGTTGGTCTGTTTGGGTGGGTAAATAGATTTCCTAGCTGAAATGATGAAGAAAGAGCCCATAATGACAGAAGCTTTATTTTCATATTGAGTCTTCTTCTCTCAATATGTATTTATGCCTGTTTGCCTGCCTTCAGAGTCTCTTTAATAATATGACTGTATTTTCTCATGCTTTTTACATAATATGTGTACTGACTTCCCTTAAATGACATGAAATCTTGTTAGGAGATATTTCTTCTCTCTCTCTCTTTTTTATTTGACAGGTAGAGTTATAGACAGTGAGAGAGAGAGACAGAGAGAAAGGTCTTCCTTCTGTTGGTTCACTCCCCAAATGGCTGCTATGGCTGGCGCTGCGCTGATCTGAAGCCGGGAGTCAGGTGCTTCCTCCTGGTCTCCTATGTGGGTTCAGGGGCCCAAGCACTTGGGCCATCCTCCACTGCCCTCCCGGGCCACTGCAGAGAGCTGGACTGGAAGAGGAGCAACCAGGACTAGAACCCCGCGCCCATATGGCATGCCAGTGCCGCAGGCGGAGGATTAGCCAAGTGAGCCACAGCGCCGGCCCCTATTTTCTTCTCTTTCTAAAGTCAGGGTCTGAATTAGATAGTTTCTAACATTCTGTAAAGTCCAAGTGCCCTGTGATGGACTTGATTTTTTATGTTTTTCTTTGAAAATAAATTGTTAGATGGGTGGGGAAGCATTTAAAATGTATCTACCAGCAGATGGCACTCCAATATTTCTACAGTAGGCAACCCTTAGCTATTCCCCAAATAGAAATTAGGCAAAACTGGACACATTAAAAAGAAAGCTTTGAAATGTTTGTTACTATTGTGATAAAAATTACATATGTATCAATTAATAGACCCTCTAGATATACATATTGATATTGAGCCATAATCCCGTATGTGCTCCACAGTACTTTCCACCAAACTATTATTATAGTACTCATCAGATGGACATGTAAGCTCACTTGTTTACCTGTTCATTTTCCAGATAAACTGTCAGATTAAGGGTGAAGATGACATTATTTATCTCTGGATTCCAAGGGTAGAGGAGGTGACATAGTACCTGGCCCATACTCAGCACTCAATTAAGTGTCTCTCCTTTTCGTCCCTCAGAAAATTGGTTAAGTATTGCCTTGTATGCAGGAGAATGTTCATAAACATTGGTTCATGCAAAGCCTTTTATTTTTTTTTCTCTTTAACAGTTACTTGTAACTATCAACTCTAATGTGTTTGATGTATGTTCTTTGATGTTTTTGTGTCCTTGTAAAATGCATTGTTTTTTTGTGTGTTTAATTTGCACTAACACTGTACTGGATATATATCATTCTGGCTTTTTGGTGTATGTTCCTGGCATATCATTGTATTTAAAGCTATCTATGTTGTTGAATACATATTTAATACATTGCTTGTAACAGCTGCCCTTATAAGTTCACCTATCCATTTTTCTTGCGATGGACATCTGGGTGTCTCATGTTCCTCACTCTTAAACTTAGAGCCTTATGGAACACCCTCATTCAAATTCTTTTCTGAGTTGTGCTGGGGTTTATGCCCACTAGTGGGGTTGCTGGGCCTTAGGAAATAGGCATACTTAATTTAGCTAAATACTGCCAGAATACTCTCTAGAATGGTCCAGTTGTTTTACAGCAAAAGAAGGTTTCCACCTCTCTCCATCCATAATTATTGTCATCTAGTATTTCAAATTTTGCCAATTAGATGGTGTAAAGCAAAAACATTTCCTTTTAAAATATTTATATATTCATGTTTGTTTATTTGAGGAGAGAGCAAGAGAGAGATCTTTCATCCACTGGTTCATTCCTCAAGTGCCCACAATAGCAGAGGTTGGGCCATGCTGAAGCCAGGAGCCCAGAATTCCTCCTGGTCTCCCACATGGGTGACAAGGACTCAAGTACTTGAGCCATCATCTGCTGCTTCCCAGGATGTACGTTAGCAGGAGGTTGGACTGGATGGAAGCGGAGGCAGGACTTCATCCCAGGCACTCCAATGTGGAATGCAGGCATTTCAAGTGGTGGCTTAACCCCTGTATCACAGTGCCCACTTCTGAAAATATTTCTTGTGTGAAATGATGATCAGCTGAGAATCAGCTAAAGCTAATAATATGTATGCTATTTTTAGTTGCATGATTTTCTTCCTTTGAGGATGGTCCTGTGCTTTCTGAACTTTCCACTGTCTAAATGTAGGAATGAAATAGATACCAATATTTTTTTGAGATATGCCTTAGAATCTGAACTCCTTCTCCTCATTATTTGAAGTCTATGAATCAAGTAGATCAAATAATATTGTATCCCTTATTATCTATATTTGTTCTCTAAAACCATAAATAAAATAGTGTTGTATAGTGAGGGATCCAAGATGTGTCAGGCCTCATTTTAATTGTTCAAAAGCTTCTTAGGTGACTTTAATATGTAATCAGGGATGAGAATCACTTAGATTCTCGTATTATTTATCTCTACCTGAAATGGAAAAAGATTTATAAGTATTTAAACACAGAAAATATAATTTTATTGTGCTCATCAGGCTTCAGAAAATCATAAGAATTTAAAATTTAAGTGTCTTATAGAAATTAAATGCATTTCCTAAGAATACATGTCTGTAGATGACCAAAGGACTAGAAGAAACAGAATAATTTTGATGACAGTTAAGGCTGGTATGGTTTAATGTAACTGGCTTAGAATAAAGTAAGGACTTGGATCCGGCTCTATGGGCCAAATCTCACTCCAGAGAATTAGAGATCTAGATGTCAGGTCACACAGAGAGAAAATATTCAGCGAAGTAAATATGTACTGGAAGAGTTAATAGTGTTTATGAGTTGATTTTGATGCTTGAAGAATGGGCTGAATCAGTATAAACCTTCCATTATCAACATTTGCATTATTATGAACTTAGCACATTGAGTATAAAACGGTAAAAGTGTGCCATAAATCTAGGGAACTGAAGACTATAGTCATAGCTAATCGTTTTTTGAGGCTCAATGAACACAATTATGTTCCAGGGAAAAGTTTAGTTACAGGTTCAATTTTTAGTGTTGAGATTATATATTAAATATATTGAGATACATATAGATGATTGATATATTTAACTTTTTTAGAAATTATCTTTAATGTCAGTTAATGCTTAAGAATCATCCAACAGGGAAAGTAGTATGTGTAAACAACTTACATTACTATATCTATCTACCCGTCTATTGTTAATGAAGCTGAAAAGTATGTGAAAGGCAATCTGAATTTTTACTCCTGGAATATTATATACAAAGGCTCTCAGGTATTTCAGTAGCAAATATACCAAAATTATAGTATAGTCATCAGTCAGTAGAGCTGGTTTTAGTATCAAGCTCTTTGAGAAACAGCTTGAAATTTTAAACTGTTTTTATTACTGAATTATGGAGACAAAGCCTGTCATACCTATGCTGTGAACATAAAAGGAAATAGTATATATGTAAGCTATTATTATAGTAATTTCAAACCTCAGGTTTTAGGTGTATAATTTCCTCTTATCCCATCTATGTTCATTTATTTCCTTTTCTTTCTTTCTTTTTTTTTTTTTTTTGGACAGGCAGAGTGGACAGTGAGAGAGAGAGACAGAGAGAAAGGTCTTCCTTTACTGTTGGTTCACCCTCCAATGGCCGCCTCGGCAGGTGTGCTGTGGCCAGTGCACCACGCTGATCCGAAGCCAGGAGCCAGGTGCTTCTCCTGGTCTCTCATGTGGGTGCAGGGCCCAAGCACTTGGGCCATCCTCCACTGCCCTCCCGGGCCACAGCAGAGAGCTGGCCTGGAAGAGGGGCAACCGGGACAGAATCCAGCACCCCGACCGGGACTAGAACCCGGTGTGCCGGCGCTGCAAGTGGAGGATTAGCCTATTGAGCTGCGGTGCCAGCCAGAGTTCATTTATTTCCACAATGAACATCAATCAGAATAAAAATTACTTTTACTAAGTAGCAATTATATGCCTGGTACTAAAGGAATTAGTTCATTTAATTCTAATAGTACATGTGGAAGGAAGTATACCAATCTCTATTTTATAGATAGGGAACCTGAGGCTTGGGAGGGATGTGTTACTTGTTAACAGAAGTCACAGTAGCAGACAGTAAACTGTGAACTAGAATTTGTTTTAAAGATTTATTTATTTTTATTTGAAAGAGTTACACAGAAGAGAGACAGAGAGGTCCCCCATCCACTGGTTCACTCCCCAGATGGCTGCAACCGCTGGAGCTGTGCCGATCCGAAGCCAGGAGCCAGGAGCTTCTTCCAGGTCTCCCACGTGAGTGCAGGGGCCCAAGGACTTGGGCCATCTTCTACTGCTTTCCCAGGCCATAGCAGAGAGCTGGATTGGAAGTGGAGCAACTGGGTCTCGAACTGGCGCCCATATGGGATGCTGCCGTTTCAGGCCAGGGCATTAACCCTCTGCATCACAGTGCCGGCCCCTGTGAACTAGACTTTAATCAAAGTCTGTAATACTGAAAATTCCATGCTTTTTCCTGTATAACATGAAGGTGTGGGGGTACTTCAAAAAGTTTATGGAAATGGGATTGAAAGGTAAATCTATGTTGGTGCAAAATTAAAAAAAAATTTTTTTTGAAACCTGTGCATAGAAGGGTCTTTAGAAGGTTCATGGAAAATGTGTATTAAGAGAAACTACATGGATTTCAATTTTTTTCATCAAAATAAACTTATCTTTTAAAATATTATTCAGAGGCAGAGGGAGAGAGAGAGAGTGCGTGTGTGAAAAACAAGCAGGGAGAAGGAGGAGAAGGGAGGGAGGGAGGGAGGGGGAGAGAGAGAGATAGAGATAGAGAGAGAGAGAGAGAGAGAGAGAGAGAGACTGACTCCAAATGCCCACAAGGGTCAGGGTTGGACCAGACCAAAACTAGGATCCGGAAACTCAATTCAGGTCTCCCAAGTGGTTGGAAAGACCCCAACTACTTGAGTGATCAATGTTACCAGTGTCTGCTTTAGGAGAAGGCTGATATGGGGGGGTGGAGCTGAGACTCAAACTTAGGTATTCAGATAAGGGGTGTGGTCATCCTAACCAATGTCCTAAACCCTGGTCCAAATATATGCCCAAACATGTCTTTTAATTCCATTTTCCCATGAACTTTATTTTTGAAATATTTACATTTGTTTACTTGAAAGGCAGAGCAATAGAGGGAGGGAGAGAGAGGAAGAAGGGAGGAAGAGAGATAGAAAAAAAGAAAGAAACCTTCCATATGCTGGCTCACTCCCCAAATGCCTTCGAACAGCCAGGGCTGGGCCATGCTAAAGGCAGGAGGCGCAGACTCCATCCAGGTCTCCAGTATGGGTAGCAGGAACTCAATTGTTCGGCCATCATCCACTGCCTCTCAGGTGCATTAGTAGAAAGCTGAATTGGATACAGAGCAGCCAGGACTTAGAGCAAACTCTGATATGGTATGTGGTTGTCCCAAGTGGCACTACAATGCCCACCCCTATCTGTGAACTTTTTAAAGTGGCCTTATGTAAAAGGCAGAATGGGCTAGAATGGTAAAATGTAGATCCTTTAATGGATGAGAGTAAGACATGGATAATTTTTTTGTTATTTGATTTTTCACATATAGTGGTCTCTCAAATAACTGTCATCCCTACTTCCAAACATGTTAAAGGATTTCAAACTGAACTCCTTATAATCAAGTGCATTTATTGTGGGTATGATTTTTCCCCCAAAATGTTTACTATCTGATGATAAAGGGACAAAGATCATCCAGCCAGAATTTTCTTGTATGATGAGGTGGAACAATCACAGAATTAGAAGTGTCTTTCTCCTTCAGCTTTCTGGATGGAGAAAGTGTTGTCATCCCTTTCTTCTCCAGCAGGACAGAAATGTGTCTTTATGCTAAAGTAACACAGTTGTAACGGGCACTGTCCTGTCCCTACTCCTCTTTCTCCTCCTCTAGTAGAAAACTGAAGAAAGCGCGTGATACCTACTCCACTTTTTCCTTTGAGAAGCTAATTGGTAGGAAAGCCTGCATGGTTAAAATGTGGTATGGACTTGTTTACTGCATTTTTAAAAAAAGATTTATTTATTTATTTGAAAGAGTTACACACAGGAGAAGGAGAGACAGAGAGAGAGAGAGAGGTCTTCCATCTGCTGGTTCACTCCCCAGTTGCCCACCAAGGACAGAGCTGAGCTGATCTGAAGCCAGGAGCTTCTTCTGGGTCTCCCACGTGAGTACAGGGGCCCAAGGACTTGGGCCATCTTCTACTGCTTTCTCAGGCCATAGCAGAGAGTTAGATTGGAAGTGGAGTAGCCAGGACTTGAACCCACACCATATATTGGATGCTGGCACTGCAGGTGTGGGCTTTACTGCCTATGCCACAGCGCTGGCCCCTACTACATTTTTTTAAACATCATATTAGATAGACTTGACCTTTTGTTTCAGATTTACCACTGAGTCATTTATATATAACTTTGTTCTTACCCCAATCATCATTAAAGGAGTTATGCTTGTGCTAAGTGTGGGTGCCAGGGTATAATAATGAATAAGAAACAGCACATTTGTATATTTTAGAATTTATAAAACACTTTTCCCATGTATAATCTTTTTGTTTTTAAAGATTTTATTTATTTGAGAGGTAGCGTTACAGAGAGAGGGAGAGACAGAGAGAAAGGTTCACTCCCCAAATGCCCACAATGGCCAGAGCTGAGCATATCTGAAGTCAGGAGCCAGGAGCTTCCTCTGTGTCTTCCACTAGGATGCAGAGGCACAAGCACCCAGGCCATCCTCCACCACTCTCCCAGACCACAAGCAGAGTATAGATCTGAAGAGAAGCAGCCAGGACACAAAGCAGCAACCACAAGGGATGCTGGTACCACAGGTGGAGGCTCAGCCTACTATGCTACAGCACTGCCCCTCCTCACCCCCCAGTAATCTTACTCAGTTCTTACTCTACTCTTGGATATTATATTAAATTTTACATAGCAGGCAGCTAAGAGAACAGTTAAAACACTGGGGCCAGCACTGTGGCACAGTGGGTTAAAGCCACAGTCTACAATGCCAGCATCCCATTATGTTTGCTGGTTTGAGTCCCAACTGCTCCACTTCTGACCCAGCTCCCTGCTGATACACCTGGGAAAGCAGTGGTGGATGGCCCAAGGTGGCCTGGTCCGGTCCCGGTGATTGCAGCCATTTGGGGAATGATCCAGCAGGTGGAAGATCTTTTTTTCTTTTTCTCCTTCTCTTTCTGTAACTCTGCCTTTCAAAGAAACAAATCAATCTTTTTTTATTTTATTTTATTTTTATTTATTTATTTATTTTTATTTTTGATAGAGTTAGACAGTGAGAGAGAGAGACAGAAAGGTCTTCCTTTTCCGTTGGTTCACCCCCCCCAAATGGCTGCCAATACTGGTGCGCTGTGCTGATCCGAAGCCAAGAGCCAGGTGCTTCCTCCTGGTCTCCCATGCTGGTGCAGGGCCCAAGGACTTGGGCCATCCTCCACTGCACTCCCTGGCCACAGCAGAGAGCTGGACTGGAAGAGGAGCAACTGGGACAGAATCTGGCACCCCAACCGGGACTAGAACTCGGGGAGCCGACGCCACAGGCGGAGGATTAGCCAAGTGAGCCGCGGCGCCTGCCAAAGTAAATCAATCTTAAAAAAAAAAAAAGTGTTAAAACATTTACCAGAGTCACAAAACTAGATCTGACAAAGTCAGGACTTAAACCTTTGTCTTCTAACTCCTATTCCAAGATTTTTATCTACTGTATATTGATAAGTTATAGAGGAGTATGTAATATTTAGAGTACAGGATTAAGAACATAAATAGTCTGTGGAGTCGGGTGGCCTTGGGTTTCAATCCTGTATTGTCACTTACTAGCTATGTAACATGAGAAAGTTGCTTAACATCTGAGTTTTAATTTCTTCATATGTATACTAGATAATTAATCATATATTAATCATTAATTATATTAATCATTAATTATATTACATTAATATAATTAATTATAATTATGTAATTAAGTATAGTGATTATGGACAAGTACACAAGTAGTAAGTGATTAGGTAGTGGAATGGCTGCCATATCTTCATAATTCTAAGTCCTTGCTAGAGTGGAAGGTATTTTTTCTTGCTATTATATAGCTACGTAAGATTCTTTCAGAAGGGGAAAATAGAAATTTATAACTAGACTTTGAAACTTTAATAGAAGGGAAGGAAGTTGGCAAATATGACAGCTGAAAGAGAAAAAATCATAGGAAAAATTAAAAGAAATCATTGTAATTAAATGACCATCATTAAAAAGCATGTACATCTTGCAGCAACGCTGTCAACTGGATTTGGCCCCAAACACAGGACATATCAGTTAGTCCCAGTCACCAGTCCCAGTACCCATGTTGGTGACTAGTGTATTTCCACTTGTCTGAGATGAAATGGTAAGTGTGATAATGTAGTGATTTTTCATAAAGTTAAGTTTACTTAGTTTAAAACCTGCTCTTTATTTTGACATGTTGTTTCAGCTTTTTTTGGATGTTGAAATGTTCTTTCCTTTTGGAAAGTAATAGTGACAAACGGTTGATAGTTTTTTTTAAGGTCATTACTAGACAAAATAAAAAGTTGGCAAACACATGTCTACTCCTCCCTAATAACTAATATTTATTTTGAAATCTCAGAGTCTGGAAATCACTGAATCAGTTAATCTTTAGTTTCTTGTAGTTCTTACAGTTTCAAATTTCTTATTTAGGCTCCTAGATATCAAAGATACTTCTCCATAAAGATCATTTAGTAGACACCAGGCAGTGTGTTTTTTTCCTCTAAGATTGATTTATTTATTTGAAAGACAGAGAGGAGAGAGGGGAAAGAGGACAGGGGAGCTGGGAGAGGGGAGCAGGGAGAGGAAGGTATCTTCCATCTGCTGGTTAACTCCCCAAATGGCTGCAACATCTGGGGCTGGGACAGGCTGAAGCCAGGAACTTGGAACTCCATCTGGGTCTCCCATGTGGGTGGCAGGGGCCTAAGTGCTGGGCCATCTTCTGCTGCTTTCCCAGACACATTAGCAAGAAGCTGGATCAGAAGTGGAACAAATGCACTCATACTGGATGCTAGCATCACAGGCAGCGCTTAACACGCTGTGCCACATTGGAGGGCCCACAGAGAAGTTTCAAGGACACCTGTAGTTCCTGATAGCTCATATTTTATACAGAGGCTCAATTCTTGTTACCTATGAAACTGCAATCTAAGAACAGAGATGTAGATTGTTGTCTACATCTGTGTTGTCAGCACACAGAAGGAAAGATAGGAATACCAATCATAGACTGATTTACTGACAACAAATAATTTAAGGTTAAATGAGAAGCAAGGCAAGAAACATTGTCCTGAGGTTGACTATTACAATTGTGTATGACTGTACAATTTCAGTGTTAGAATAGATATGGTCTTCATTAGGAATTAAGAAAATAAATGATTTGTTTTGTTGGTTTTGACCTTAATAGAATACAAGTTCTGATGAAAACATTTAATACATTAAAGTAATGAGGTCACCAAACTTTTGCAAACTAGTTGTGTTATTAAACAAAAATTTTGAAAATTCGTAATTAAGCAGACTCTCATTATATTCAAGTTCATCCTTAGTCATAGGAGTAGGTATTTTGAAATATATATTGATTGTAGATATCTAGGGGGTAAAAGTGATTTATTTCATTGAAGCAATTTTCCACTGGTCCCAATAAATGTGACTTCTAAAATTGCATTCATTTGTAAGATGGGTTTTTTAGGACTTTGAAAATCTGACTCGGTGTTAAAAAATGTATAGCTTGTTTTAATTCTGAATGCAGCAGATGAACTAATGGCTTCACAACATACCTGCTGAAGGAGATGGGGAGAAAATGCTGATAACTGGGAAAATATTACTGAACAGATATCCAAAACACTGTTTATTGTTTCAAAAGTACTTATTTTTTATTACATTTTTCTTGAGAGTAATATATGATTTCAGTGTACTGAGCATGATTTAACTTTATTCATGCAAGTATTTATTTATTTATTTATTTATTTTTTGACAGGCAGAGTTAGACAGTGAGAGACAGAAAGAAAGGTTTTCCTTTTTCCATTGGTTCACCCCCCAAATGGCCGCCACGGCCAGTGCACTGCGGCTGGCGCGCGCTGTGCCGATCCAAAGCCAAGAGCCAGGTGCTTTCTCCTGGTCTCCCATGTGGGTGCAGGGCCCAAGCACTTGGGCCATCCTCCACTGCCCTCCTGGGCCACAGCAGAGAGCTGGACTGGAAGAGGAGCAACTGGACAGAATCCAGCACCCCAACTGGGACTAGAACCCAGGTGCTGGCGCCGCAGGCAGAGGATTAGCCAAGTGTGCCGTGGCGCTGGCTGTACAGGTATTTATTGAATGCCTACTAAGTGTTCAGATCTTGGGGATACAAAGATGAAAGTCTGCTCTTGTCATGGGCTTTGTGAGACAGTGAGTTAAGCTGCAGCTTGGGATAGCCATATTCCATATTGGTTTGAATCTTGGCTACTCCACTTCTAATCTAGATTCCTGCTAATGCATTCTAGGAGGCAGCAAATGGCAACTCAAGTACTTGGGTCCCTGCTACCCTGTGGGAGACTGAGATGGAGTTCCAGGCTCCTGGCTTCAGCATGACTCAGTCCTGGCTATTACGGGCATTTGGAGAGTGAGCCAGCAGATGGAACATTTGTCTCTCGCTCTGCCTTTCAAGTACATAAAAATGAATAATAATAAAATAACTTTTAAAAGTCTACTCTGCTCACTGGGATGTCATCATTTCTAGGAGGGACTTAGTACACATTTGAAAATTGCAGTAATTTTTACTGGAACTTATACCATATCTCAAACTCCTATGTGCATTTTACAGGATCAAGGTGTGTTAGAAATTTTCAGGAACTGAAGGAAACAGGCCCTAGGGCTGGAGCCAACATCTAATACTTACATGTATGATAACTTGATTTTTAAAAATCATCTTTAAATTGTATTACTTGGATTTCTTTTTTTCTTTAGCCTCACTTGATGTGACTGTACTCCTAGAAGGTCTTCATGGCTCTTTTCAGTCAAATGTAACATAACCACTGGATTTCCTAGTTTCTGGGGTTAGTAGCTGCTCTTCGGGGAACCTGAGCAAGGATCATCTACTTTACCCTTTTCAGATTTGTTAACTGTAACTGGCTGAGGTGTGGGGAGATGGGTTACTATTACAGTGTTTGCTGGGCTCTGAGATTGTCCCTTGCATATCCATTCTGGGGGAGAGCTTTTGTTTGGCATTTTAGAGTTTTTTTTCCTGTTTGATACCAAGGAGCCCCTGGGACACTCCTGTGTGCCCACCTTGTATAAAATAGTTCTCTTCCTCTGTCAAGTAGAGGCCCATTTTCTTCCGGAAGCACAAAGTGGGGCCCAGCAGTGTGACACACCAAACTGCACCTGTTTCCTGTGCCTTAAAATGGCACTGAGAGCTGTGAGCTATTGTGGGTGGGGGTCCCTGAGCAGGGGCTGGTGGTGCACTTGGTGACAAGTGGCTGGGCTTTTCTCATTCAGCTCTGTGTGGCTGACTCTGGCCTGGAGTAGGGGCTGAGTCTGAAACCCCTGCAGGATCATTCCATCCTTCTCTGGCACCAAAGAGCTGCATTTCTCTTTGCCGTCGTCGAAGCGGGGCTGGAGGGCGACTCTGCCTGTGCAGTGGAATATAGTGGCCAGGCAGTGGCAGAAAGGTACACGGTGCTGTACATGTTACTTTGACTTGGCCAAAGCCAGCATATTTTGAAGGAACCAAGACCCTTACTTTTTGACTGCACCAAGAATAGAGCGGAGCCAGGGCGTAAACTGGTCTCCTTTGCTCCTCTGCATGAAGTCTTTTGTCATGGTCCTGATTTTCTTTCTGATCACCCTTTGTCCTCTGAGGTCAGAAGATGCTTCTGTAACCTCACTGTAGCAGAGGTCTGGGTTTCTGTTCATGGAGTCTTCCTCTGAGGTCCATGCCTTGGCAGGAATCACAGTTGCCCCTGCAAGACCTTGCTGCAGTTTAACCACTCCTGCGTTTGCTGCTTCAGTCCAGAGAGAAGGGCTCTGAGCCAACGAGGTGCCTGACGCTGTCAGCACTAACAGAAGCATGGTCCGTGCAAACGCTTTACTCTAGTCCGAGGTTGCCTCTGGGGCTTTTGTGTCACAGTCAGAGCTTGAACTGCTCTCCTCCAAGTCTCATATGGAGGGAAGTAAAAACAAGACATCCCGCCATGCACCCCAGACATTACAACACTACTGTTCCGATCCCTCCAATCCCTCCCTGAGCTTCCTGACCCTAGAGGGTTAAATCAGGAGGGTACAACATTACCCCTCCCTCCTATTTCCCGCCTCCTCCTCCCCTTACCTTTAAAAAGTTAAAAAATGTCTGCAGTCGAAATCTCTTAAAGGGGCGGTGCTGGTGAACGAGTACTCTTGGCACGCGTTGCTGAGAAGGCTGGCTAGGGGCGTGAGTTCGCTCCACCAGCACCAAAACACTGAAAAAAAAAAAGAGAGAGAGAGAGAGAGCGCGCGCGAGCGAGCGAGAGTGAGGGGGGAAAAAGGAAAGGGAAAAAAAGGAGGAAAAAGGCAGACACACACTTTAGATAAGGACAATTAGTCACCAGCGAGATCCAGTAGGGAGAAAGGTTTAAATCAGAGGGATTTAATGAGGGTGCTCTGTGCCTTCCCTGAAGCCATGCCCTCCAGCAACTCCCGCCCCCCTTCGTGCCTAGCCCTGGTGGCTCTCTCCTTGGCTCTGTTGCTCCATCTCTCTCTTTCCTCCCAGGCAGGACATAGGAGACCCTTGCCCGTAGACAGAGCTCCAGGTTTGAAGGAAAAGACCCTGATTCTACTTGATGTGAGCACCAAGAACCCAGTCAGAACAGTCAATGAGAACTTCCTCTCTCTGCAGCTGGATCCGTCCATCATTCATGATGGCTGGCTCGATTTCTTAAGGTAAGGCAGGGGCTTGGATGGATCATTTACATTTTTTTTTAAAGTAACACTCCCCAACCCCTTCCTATCCCCCATTCTAGAGGGGAAAGAAGAAGAAAATAAGCCAAGTGGATCTCTCAATGAGAAGAAAGGAGGTTTTCCTTCTCCTGGAATATTTGCTATGAGGCTGTAACTAGTGATTGAGAAAAGCAATGTTTTCTATTAAGATGCACATGTTTGCAATGCAAAAGGCATTTCAGAAACTTATCAGTTATGACTGAAAAAATGTTTTGCTTACATATATCCACAATTAGCCTCCCTGTCTCCTTCTGAAAAAGAAACAAGAGATTAGGGCAGTTACAAAAGCGAAGAAAAGGTCTCCAGCAACAAAGACCTGAGAGGACTGGGTGTGTGTGTGTGTGTGCATGTGTGTGTGTGAGAGAGAGAGAGACAGACACAGAGACTTAGTGTTCAAGTGGGGATTGCAAGAAAGTGGAATTTTCTACAGAAAGATGATTTCATCAGAAAACAAATTAAAGAGGCTTGAGTGGTGGACAGGTTGGAAAGGAATTTTATAATTTATTTCATATCCTCCACTGTCATCTCCAGACTTAAAGACTTTGTAAGGCACTTTTTATAGATAAATGATCCCCCCCCTTTAAATCTGCGGTAAACTGCATAGTTTAGTTTTCCTTTAAATTAAAAAAAAAATTCTCGGGTGGTAGCGTATATAAGGGGAGCGGTAAGTGTTTTAGGAATACTGGGGGGGGGATGGTGGTGCAGAGGTCTGACCTGCACCCCCCCCCCCCCACATTAGCAAACCCGGCGGTTTTCGATCCCCTTTGCTCTAGGGCTTGGAACCTAATTGGACTCGCCCTTTCCTTGGGTTTTTACTTTTTAGTAGTCAGGCAACTGCTATCCCTTCCCATCAGGGACAAAGTTGCAGTGTTGAAAAAGAAATAAAAATGGTCTGCAATATCGAATCCAAGTGTTGAGTTTTAAAAATTCCCTCCAAGTCGGAGCCTCAGCTGTGGGCTCCCTCGAAGAGTTCTGAGCATTCTCAGTCCCACTCCTCTTCCTGAGGCCGTGTCCGCCGCGCGTCTTTCGTGAGTATTTTTTCATTTCTTGGGAAATTAGACTTGCTTTTCCGGATGCACTCGCCCTTCATCCCTTAGGGGTTTCCCTCTGGCTCCGGCCGGGGCTGTGGATGCGGCAGGTAGCAGGAGGCGCCACGTGGAAGGCGCCTTCCACGTGGAGGAGCATAGCCTGGATCTTAAGTGGTTGTCTTCCCTGCCGCGGAGACCATTTCGGTTCCTGAGGGTGCAGACACTGGGAGGGGGGCGACAGCTCCGTGCTGCCCTGCTTCCTCTAAAGTTCTGCGCAGCAGAGCGCGTAGCTGAGCTCGTCCTATTGTGGGGCACGGCAAGGATTTCCCGAAATGCATGCCCCACTTGCATTGCACTCTTTCAGCTGCACAGACTACTCAGCCCTTTCGCGCTAAATGCTTGCTGCAGAAGAGATTTTGGAAGGCAGCTTTTCGGGGAAGAAGCCCTGGCGGGGCGCATTTGCATTGGCTGTGCAGGCTTCCGGACGGAAGGTTGTTGGAAGTGCCGCGTTTCCCCGGGGCCGGACCCGCACGGACGTGTTCTCTGCACGCAGCTGGCCCACGCGACGCTGACTGCGCGCCCCTGGAACGCGGTCCTGGAATCCTCAGCCACACGAACTATCTGGCCACCGGCCTCTCGGGGTTGCCACCTCTCTTCGCAGAAACTCCCCGAAAGAGGAGTCTCCGTCCTTCCCATCCCTCTACCCCTATCTTCCTTTAGACGCTCTTACTACATTTGGATTTGGATTCTTCAGAACCTGAACCTGCAAAGCGTTAAAAATAACAAACAGAGCCGGAGCAGCGATCCCCTCAGCGTGAGAGACATCTGCACTGCTCTTTCCTCGCTCCTTCCCCAAAGTAGCAGCGTTTGGGGACTTAAAAAACTTACTGATGGAAAGCCTGAACTTCCGTAGACGGTGCACGCTATTGTTCTGGGGTCCCCGGAGTTTCCCCTGACGCGCAGGTCCCATGTTTTCGGCAGACTTCACTTTTCTTAGTGCTTCCAAACGGCCCCAACGAGAAGCAGGGAAGAGGGAGCCCAACTCGGATGGTGGGGAGGAGGATGTTACCTTTCTTGTGATGGGGCCGAATTATTTCACGGGGGGCAAAAGAGACCTTTTTTCTAAGGGCAGGAGGGGGCGTGAGTTGTTCTGGAGGCGAGAGTTTACCCCCCAGACACACACTGCTCGTGGATTTGGGAAACAATGATGTTGTTAATAGCATAATGGAAAGGAAAATCAACTTCATTAAAAAAGTTGTAATCCACTTGGCCTCAAAAAAAGAAAAAAAGAAAAAAAAGTCAGAATCCACTGGGCCTAGTCTGAGAGAAAAAGGCAGGCTTTCACCTCTTCCACTGAGGTGGCGGCTCCGGCGAAGCCGAGGAGGCGAGACTGGCTTTCCGTGGAGAAGTTTGGCAGCGGTTGGAGGCCAGCAGTTGGCGCGTTGCGCGTCTCCGCCAGGAGCGCTTTCCTGGCTGCGGCAGAGCCAGTCAGCTGCGCCTTGACCCGGTGTTCTCAGCGCAAGTGTCCCCCAACCCTGGGAACCAACACAATCACTGACCCTTCGGAAATCAGTACCTTGAGCGAGCAGCGTGGAGGTTTCTGCCCGAGGGGGCAGCTGCGGGCGGCTGGGCGCAGGAGGCGTAGCCCCGGGATGCCGAGCGGCGGTGGGCTGCACGGGTTGAGGTGCCCGGCGCTCTCAGACGCGGCGGAGCCGCTAGGGCCGGCGCGTACCTCGAGCTAGTGCGGGCACAGAGTCCTTAGCCCGTAGGGAGTGGGAAGAGGGCCTTGCTCTGTGCCTCCGGCGCTCTCCGCTTCTGGGATCCTTTCTTCTCTCTTTCTCTACCCCTGCAGCTCCAAACGTCTGGTGACTCTGGCCCGGGGACTTTCACCCGCCTTTCTGCGCTTCGGGGGCAAAAGGACCGACTTTCTGCAGTTTCAGAACCTGAGGAACCTGGCGAAAAGCCGAGGGGGTCCGGGTCCGGATTACTATCTAAAAAACTATGAGGATGGTGAGAAATTGGTCCCCGTTCTGGCGGGGTGGGAGGGAAATTGGGGGTCGGGAGCGAGCACCCGCTGTGTGCATTTCTATGTGGGTAGATTTTTGTGAAGAGCCCCAGGGAAGCTCCCAGGAGCAGCTGGAAGCTGCTGGCAAGGGGACCTTCGGAGTGTGGGACTCCTGGGATGATCACACTCAAGGGGCTTGCCAGGTTGTCCTTGTCCCTGCTGCCGACTTTGATTTTTTGCTGCGCTGTACTCTTCAAGGCCGGAATGGATGGCTAAAAGTTCTGGCAAGTAGTCTTGTGCAGGAGAACGTGCAGCGAGTTTCTTGAGAAAATTCATCCATGTTCCTGGATCACTAAAGGGTCAGAGTCGCATTTCATTGCTAAAATTCTAGGCAAAGATGGCCTTTGTGATTTTCTTATGTCTTTTTGCTTTCCTGGGATGAGGACACAGAGGGATTCCATCTGAAAACGTAACAAAACACTGTAGTTTTCTGGGATAATTCCCTTTAGATTGGCTCCTTGTTGAAGAAGGTTTGAGAATCTCCAGTGGGTGCTCGCTCTTTCAGACTGACTAATCTCAGAATTACATTTTTTTCTGCTTTAAAATGGGATTACAAATGCTAGCCTTCTTTCCTGCCAGGATCAGATGAGTTAAGTGTTGGAAGGGCTTTGAAAACTCAAAATCCTATTCCAGACTGAGAGGCCAATCTTTTTAGATCTGAACAGCCTCATTTTTTTTACTAGAGAAAAAATAAAAATGGCATTTTAAAAAGTATTCAGGAGGCTTGAAGTTGGTATCTATGAACTTTCTGTGTGTCTAAAGGGACATAGTTGTTTTCAAAGAGGCACAGTGGAAATTGGTGCACCTTGAGCCACTGTGGCTGCTAAGATTGGATAGAAGAAACATTAGTGCCTATTCTTGGAGGGTGGGCTTTCCCCACTCTCCCTTCTCATGAGTAAGCTATAGTTTTATTTTTAAAGGGCTTAGGTCTAGGTTTTCATAGTCCCCTGGATTTTGTTACATCTTGTCCTTATAAATCAGCTAAACAAGACAATGTCCTTGTATTTTCTGGGCCTTCATTGAGTTGGACCTCTGGAGAGTTATTGGGACTTATTTTAAGGATGCCCGAAGAATATATTTTTAAGGTACCAAAATGGAGAAGGAGGGCAAGATTGTGACTGAGTTTGAAACATGGACTTATTCATCCAGAGTATGTATGTGCTTAAGTCTCATTCTTTTCAATGGTAAAAGTCCTTGTCATAAAAATATGGGTTGCATGTAGATTTTGCTGTCACTCAGGATAAAATACTGAAAGATAAAAGATGATCCTGTGTAGCAGCACTGTTGGTAATTTGACCCAGGTTTTATAATTCCCAGGGTCATTGTCAGCTTGCTGATCATACTCAAGAAGGGAGAATACTAATGATTTTTCTCATGAGATAGTTCTTCAAGATCATTTAAACTCCTTCCTCTTTAGTTTGTGGAGAAACTTCTAAGAGTTTTAGGATTTGCTGGGGGGAAAAGGACCATCATGAATTTAGAAATTAGCTGTTTTCTTCCAGTCTTGTACATAGGCTTATACTACTGATTCACTGAGAACATTAAAATCAGCTTAAAATGAAAGACACAATTTGTTTCCCATTGTAAAGGGGAAAAGTGGGCATAATGGGGAGAAAAGAAATTGGCAGGAGGCTGTGCCCCATAAAACTTCATAGAATTAAAAAAATCTGAAATGGGAGACATCTAAGTGGTCATCTTCACTCCTCCCACTACTTCAAGGGCCAGTATAGGATCTTTCCATATGGAATCCTTTTCTTGTTTTGTCCATCCTGGTATTAAATATCTTTAGGAATGTACTTTTTTACCACTCCTGGGGAAGAGAGTTCATCTGTCCCATAGGTTTTTGCTGGCATATTTCTCCTGAATTTTCCCCTTTAAATATTCTTCAAAATTTTATAATTATTTCCCTGCATTTTTAAGATTTGTGCCTTCACAATAAATTCTCTTTGGTGTGGGTGTTCTCTTAAAAAAAGAAAAAGAAAAAAACCAAAAAACCCAACCACCTAACCAAACAAAAACCAAAAAGGTCTCTTTATGGCTGTTTTTTATCTAGACTACCTGGATTTAATTCTTTTAAAACTTTCTTTAAAGTCAGTTCTTCCAGACACTAATCTGTTTTATTGCTCTTAGCTGAACTCCTTTTGATTTATGTCTCCCTGGTAATAAGATGCTCTGAACTATATCAGTAGTTGAAGCTTTAGCAGAGTTATAGAGAGTAGGAATGCCCTGTTTCTGCCCTTTGATGCTCACATATCCTTAAATCACCCATATTGTCTTTGTTGTTGCATGTTGCATTGCAGAATTTGAAGCAAAAATTTTTTGGTGTAGTCTCAGCAATTGTGCAAACATTGTACTTCACATGTCACTTTTTATCAGTGATAACTGTTATCATCATGAACATCTTAGTATAATTATATTTTCTTAGTAAATAACCCTGTAATGAACACTTGGGCATAAAGGTACCTTATTAAAAAATATTCACCTAAATATAGAATAATAGCGTATTTTAAGTAATAAGATGTACCTACTAGTACATTATGAAATTCAATTATATAGTAAGGAGAATATGGAATTTGGACTTAGAAAGCCCACACTGCAGGTCTGGCTCTATCACTGATGAATGTGTGGCCTGGGCTTACCACTTCTTTGTGACATATGGATGATGACAATACCTGCTGTAAATTGCTTCTGTGAAGGTTCTCAGAAGTAATGCATGTGAAATATCTTGTTGACTGTAAAGCACTAAATGAAAGCTAAGGATTCTTACTTTTATTAAAGGCAATTTCAGGACATTTATAACATTTAGTATTTTAAAGTGGGATTAAAGAGTGAATAAGATTAGATGAGATTGAAGTTTATATAGTAGAAGTAGAAGGATTTAAGGAATTGTTTGAGAAGATTAAGAGAATGCAGACAATCATATTTAAGAAAGGGAGGTGGGAACCTAAGGTAGCTCTTTTTTGTGTGGAGGTAAGAGAAGAGATTAATTTTATTTTTATTATATACTAACATTAAAATGAACCAATAGTTCTAATTTGGACAAAACTTACTTTTCTGGATACCTAATATGATTTTGCTATTTGTTCCCTCCCTCCCCCAAATCAGTAATGTAATTAATAGATCAGGTGGCTTCCATTTTCTAAATATGTTTGAATACATTAAGGCAACTGCAGTTGCTCCAACTCTGTAAAGTCACTTTTATATATCACGTGAGGACCTTCTCTGGTCACTACTTCAATACAGTTACCTATTTTGCTCTGTGCTTAGATAGTCTGAATCCCATACAAACATGGTAATTATGGAGGAAATAAAAATAGGGTTGTTTTTCTTACCCTGGGAGTCTTACTTTTGTATTACTTCTTCTCTGTTCTTTGTGATGTTATGCTTTACTTGGTCCCAACAGAGAAATCTTTGGGTTAATCTTTTGTTTTTGTTTATTTTGTGCCAGTCTTTCCCTCTTTGTTGTATATTCATTGTGTTTCATTATATGTCCATCTTGTTATGGCTATAACCACATTTAATGAAGATGTACAATATTTATTGTATGCATAGAAAGCCAGCTTAATATTTCTAAAATGTATTCATCATAACTTTTTTGATCAAAAATCCTGATTATTTTTGAATTGCTTATAGAAATGTTCAAACTCCTCAACTTTGCATTCAAAGTCTTCCACATTTCAGTCTCAGCTTACTTTTTCTACATGGTGGTTCCATGTACCTTTTATTATAGTTCAGTTTGATTATTTAGTGTCTCCTTAAAACACTTTCATTATCTCAGCCACAAACCTTTGTTGGATAGTTCTGTCCAAATCTTACTCCCACCCTGTTTAATTCTTAAAGACCCATTGCCGGTATTCCTTATTTGTAAAAAGTCTTTCTTGAACAAGTCATTTCACAGTGGTTTCTTCTTTTCTGGACTTTTTTCTTTGTGCTGTTATTTGGCTGTTCTACTTGTTTTGATACTAAATTTTTCATCTATATTTATTTATTTTACCTTCTCAACTAGAATACAAATTCTTTGCAAAAAGGGGCCTTATAAAATTACTGTATGTCCCATAGGTTTAGCATACTATTTGACACATGGCAGATTTTCAGCAAATTTTCTTTGGTGCATAACAGGTTAAGAGCACTGTGAAAGGCCCTGAGAAAATGAAGGTAACCAGTGAAGAAATAAGTGAAGGATACATGAAGATTCTAATTGTTTTCCACCTTCAATAGATAGGCCCACAAAGTGCATTTGTAATACTTATTTTCATGACATTATTCATAAATAATGAATAACCATGTATTTGTTGACTTTAGTCATCCCAGTTGTCTTGGTTTCTTGCTTTGCCTTAAATCAACTTTGCTGCTCAGTTTAAAGTCTTGTGCTGAAACTATACTTTTTTATTGTGTTTGTTTTTTGCCTTTTCTTTTGCTTTTGTTTGTTAACCTTATGTAGTTTCTATGCCTGATTTTCCAATCCCTCACTTAATAGTGCCTTTTTGCAACTTTCAAGTATCTTTTCTCTCTACCTCCAAAAGATTTTTCTCTACAGAGATCTTCTGAAATTCTCAATGATGAATGTCAGCTTTAAGGCGTTATGAACTATTATTATCATTCTGTTTTCTCCAGGAAATTTTCTGAGTTTTCATCGAAGTGAGGTTTTGTTAATTCTTTTTCTTTCTGTTTCTGTTCCATTAATCAACACATGAAGAATGGCACAACTAACAAAATATGTATTTGTCTTGAACTTATCCACATTTCACTCTCTCGTTTTATTTCATATAATGTTTCTTGAAATTCCATTACACTTAACAAATACTTATTGATTACCTACTCTGTGTTTCATTTTGTACTGCACAAAGAATGGTATCATATAAAATAAATGAAAGATATCATATCAAATCACAAAAAATAGCAATAATAATTTGTTTAGACAAGATCCACTAATCATTTTTGAAAT